AGGGAGAGATCCAGTCAGGCTCCACCCACTATAGAAAACTACAGGAAGGGCGGAGACAAGACCAATCACCCTGCACAAGGAGAGAGAAAGAGCTGTGGGAGGGACTCTACTAGGCTCCACCCATTACAGAAAACTACAGGAGGGGGCAGAGACAAGACCAATTACCCTGCACAAGGGGAGAGAGAGAGAGCTGTGGGAGGGACTCAACTAGGCTCCACCCATTACAGAAAACTACAGGAGGGGGCGGAGACAAGACCAATCACCTTGCACAAGGAGAGAGAGCAGAGCTGAGGGAGGGACCCAGTCAGGCTCCACCCATTATAGAAAACTACAGGAGGGGGCGGAGACAAGACCAGTCGCCTTGCACAAGGAGAGAGAGCAGAGCTGTGGGAGGGACCCAACTAGGCTACACCCATTACAGAAAACTAGAGAGGGGGGGGCAGAGACAAGACCAATCACCCTGCACCAGGAGAGAGAGCAGAGCTGTGGGAGGGACCCAACTAGGCTCCACCCATTACAGAAAACTAGAGGAGGGGGCGGAGACAAGACCAGTCACCTTGCACAAGGAGAGAGACCAGAGCTGTGGGAGGGACCCAACTAGGCTCCACCCATTACAGAAAACTACAGGAGGGTCGAAGACAAGACCAGTCACCCTGCACAAGGAGAGAGAGCAGAGTTTTGGGAGGGACCCAGCCAGACTCCACCCATTATAGAAAACAACAGGAGGGGGCAGAGACAAGACCAGCCACCCTGCACCAGGAAGGAGGGCAGCAGTGGGTGGTCTTTTTCCGCTTGCTGACTACATCACTTAAATGTGCGGCGACAAGGCGGCTCTCCTGCGCTGGATCACACACCAAGTATGAGATCTATGCATTAGATTCAGTGGAGCCCAGAGGAGACATTGGGGGTCTTTTGGACCCTGGGCGTCTCATTAAAGAGAACCCGTCACCAAATAAATCATCACATAGTTTTGTACCCTATGTGATGTAAAAAAAAAAAGTTACGTAAAAAGATTTTTTTTTTAAACTGCAAGTTACACCCCAACCCCCAAATTTTTTGAGGTCCACCCCCCACCCCAACATATACACACATACAAATGTAAACACGTGCGTCAGGAAAAACATCCATTGCGATACACGTTACATATCACCACCAATATTTTCTTGTGCCACACCTCCTCCGTAACGCCAAACTGATGACTTATAGGGGGCTTTTAATGCGTCGTCTATGGAAAGGGTTTGTCGCCATTTCTCAGGCGCGCGCAAAAATTTAAGGTTTGACACGTCGGGTATCTATGTACTCGGTACAACCTCATCTTTCATATTTTACAGAACAATCAGGAAATGTATTGCGTTTCTGTGTCCTAAAATGAACTTTAGTGTATTTTTTAAATCTATTTTTTTGCGTTCCCTAGACCTTTGCAGTAATATTGCGCAACGTAAAAAAAAATGGAACCACCGCTATTTTATTCTCTAGGGTGTCTGCTTTCAGAAAACATAGGATATTTGGGGGGTTTAGGCAAATTTCAGGACTAAAATGATTTAAAAAAAAAAAAAAGGCTACGAGAAACTTCCAGACCCCCACATTCCACCGAACCCCCCCCCGCAACCTCCGCGCCTGGGTTGTAGGAAATGGACCCATTTGTTGAGGGATAAATGCGACCTGTTGGAACAATTGATACATTCGTTTATGGGCCTTTTTCTTTTATGTGGTTTTGAATAGGTAATTAAAAAAATCCTCTTCGGTACGGTATAGTTTATAATATTTATAAATGAACCGCTTAAGGACCGCCCTGGAGCAGATTTGCTGCTACAGGGCGGTACCTGTGCGCATGATCACGTATATATATCCGTCATTCTGCATTTCTGGGTAGGGGGCGTGCACGTGCCCTACCTGTGCCGCCATTCGTGGCCACGGATGTCAGTCACCGAGTCCCAGCCGGTAATTAGCCGCTGGCGCCCGGTGATTACTGAGCATCTCCGACGGGGAGGAAGATTGTTTTGTGTACAGTACAGCCATCTTGATCAGTGTGATTACAGTGAAGCACACCCCCCCCTCGCCCCCTAGTAAAACACTCCCTACACCCTTTGATCACCCTTTGATTGGCCGAAATTTATTATTATTATTATATATAGTATTTATATAGCGCCAGAAAGTTTGCTCAGCGCTGTACATTATAGTGGGGGACAGAACATGAGACAATACAGTAACAATACAAAACACGAGGGGGTCAAGGGCAAGGGTCTAGGAGGGAGGGGATAGTGGTACAGGAGGAAGTGGCTGTGGGGGATGGAGTGGTAGGAGGAGATCGGCTGTTAAGTGAGGGTGGGGTAAGCTTCCCTGAAGAGGAGGGTTTTCAGGGTGCGCCTAAAGGTGAGGAGGGTAGGTGACAGTCTGATGGATCGGGGTAGTGAGTTTGAGAGGATGGGGGAAGTCCTGGAGAAGTCCTGCAGTCGGGCGTGGGAGGTGGAGACCAGGGAGCTAGAAAGTAGGAGGTCTTGTGAGGAGCAAAGAGTATGTGTTGGGTGGTATTTGGGTATCAGGTCGGTGAGGTAGTTTGGGGCAGCGTTATGAATGGCTTTGTATGTCAATGTTAGTAGTTTGAATTTAATGCGTTGGGCAATCAGGAGCCAGTGGAGGGAATGACAGAGGGGGGTGGAGCCAGTGGAGGGAATGACAGAGGGGGTGGAGCCAGTGGAGGGAATGACAGAGGGGGGTGGCAGAAGCAGAGCAGTTGGTATGGTAGATGAGTCTGGCCGCTGAGTTCAGGATAGACTGAAGTGGGGATAGCCTGTGTTGGGGTGAGGAGGGAGTTGCAGTAGTCCAGAAGTGAGATAATAAGGGAGTGAATGAGTTGCTTTGTAGTTTCAGGAGTTAGGAACGAACGTATTTTGGAGATGTTGCCAGCGAATGGACATGGGGTTGGAAGGACAGATTGGAGTCTAGAGTGACACCTAGGACTTTGGCTTGCAGGGTAGGACTGATGGTGGCGTTGTTGGTCGTGATGGAGAGGGTGAGGGGGGGGGGGGGGGGGGGGGGGGGGGGGGGGGGCTTGCAGGCTGGGGGGAAAATTAGGAGCTCGGTTTTGGAATTTATGGCAAAATTTGATTTTTAAAATTTTTTTAACGGACATGTTTAACCCCCCTCGCCTACAGGGCACTTCTACCCCCTTCCTGCCTACAGGACACTTCTACCCCCTTCCTGCCTACAGGGCACTTCTACCCCCTTCCTGCCTACAGGACACTTCTACCCCCTTCCTGCCTACAGGGCACTTCTACCCCCTTCCTACCTACAGGCACTTCTACCCCCTTCCTGCCTACAGGGCACTTGTCAGGGCTCCCAGGTGTGACCAGAGGTGTGTGACTGACACAGGGAAATGCAGACTTCAGATATGTGATAAACAATGTAATTTATTAACACTAACCATACAAACATAAACGCAGTGCAATACTAAAACATAATACAGTGCAAACAAACCAAACCAACCACCCACAGATAACAGTACATACAAGCAAGCGTCGTCAGGCAGGCCGGGTCAATATCAATAGGGCAGGTAGGTACAGGGGGAGCAAGCGGAGATGGGTCGGGGTCACAGGCCAGGTTCAGCAGGTAGCAAGCAGCGTAGTACAGAGGGTCAGGCAGAGGGATGGTCAGGGTCACAAGCCAGGGATCAGAACAGGTAGCAAGCAGCGTGGTACAGAGGGTCAGGCAGAGGGATGGTCAGGAGCGAGCCGGGATCAGAGCAGGAGAAGTCAGCAGCGGTTCAGATCAGGCAGGGTCAGCAAAGGAACAGAAACAGGATGCAGGACAGATACAGGGCCCAGGACAAACACAACACCAAGGCAGAGTCTGCAAGTCTGGCCATCCCTTAAATACACCAGTATCATCAGTTCCAAGTGTTAGCTGGCTGAAAGGTTGAGTCTCTGATTGCTGGGAGCACCCGCTGGCCAGCCCTGGTACTGCAGATCAAAAGGCAGGTGAGTCCCACCATTGTTGGCCAGTCCATTCCTGACAGCACTTCTACCCCCTTCCTGCCTACCGGGCACTTCTACCCCCTTCCTGCCCGCTGGGCACTTCTACCCCCCCTTCCTGCCTACAGGGCAATTCTACCCCCTTTCTGCCTACAGGGCACTTCTACCCCCTTCCTGCCTACAGGGCACTTCTACCCCCTTCCTGCCTACAGGGCACTTCTACCCCTTTCCTGCCTACAGGGCACTTCTACCCCCTTCCTGCCTATCGGACACTTCTACCCCCTTCCTGCTTACAGGGCACTCCTTCTACCCCCTTCCTGCCTACAGGGCACTTCTACCCCCTTCCTGCCTACCGGGCACTTCTACCCCCTTCCTGCCTACCGGGTACTTCTACCCCCTTCCTGCCTACAGGGCACTTCTACCCCCTTCCTGCCTACAGGGCACTTCTACCCCCTTCCTGCCTACAGGGCACTTCTACCCCCCTTCCTGCCTACAGGACACTTCTACCCCCTTCCTGCCTACAGGACACTTCTACCCCCTTCCTGCCTGCCGGGCACTTCTACCCCCTTCCTGCCCGGGCCAATTTCCAGCTCTCAGCGCTGTCACACTTTGAATGACAATTGCGCGGTCATGCAACACTGTATCCAAATGAAAATTTTTATCATTTTTTTTGTGACAGATAGAGCTTTATTTTGATGGTATTTAATCACCTCGGGGATTTTTATCATGTTTGCTAAACAAACCAAAAAGCTCTTAAAATTTTGAAACAAAAAAGTTTTTTCTTAGTTTTTGTTATAAAATTTTGTAAATAAGTGATTTTATTCCTTCACTGATGTGCGCTAATGAGGCTGCACTGATGGGCACTGATAGGCTGCACTGATGGACACTGATAGGTGGCACTGATGGGCACTTATGAGGAGGCACTGGTAGGTGGCACTGATGGGCATTGACAGGCATCACTGATGGGCACTGAAAGGCAGCACTCATATATGGCACTGATAGGTGGCACTGATATGCAGCACTGACTGGCACTGTTAGGTGGTACTGACCGACACTGTTAAGCTGCACTGATAGGCGGCACTGATGCATACTGATAGGCGGCACTGACTAGCACTGATATGTGGCACTTATTGGCAGCACTGTTAGGTGACACTGATTGGCATTGATAGGTGGCACTGACCGGCACTGATAGGTAACACTGAAAGGCAGCTCAGATGGGCACTGATATGTGGCATTGATGTGCACTGATGGACACTGACAGGTGGCACTGCTGGGGCTACACAGATCATCAGGGTAGATGTCCCCTCTGAGTAAAGCCGATTACCGGCTCTCATCTCCTCTCCTCTGTCAGCGTGACAGCTCGAGAGGAGAGAGAATGCCGATAACCGGCATTTCCCTATTTAGATGTACTCAGCTGTGATTGGACACAGCTGGTCACATGACCGAGCCGACATCTTCGGCTCTTTCCGTTGATCGGTGATCTGCTATGTTAAAGGGACACAGCGCACCGCCGATCGCCGCGCTGTGCGCTCCCGGAGCCGTGCATGCGCAGTGAGAATGAGAGAACTGCCTTGCACCCATCATTTCCTTATACGGCGGGCGGGAGGCAGTTAATAGCAAAAAGTCCAAAATATTGTTTTTTTCTGAAAATTGTCCGTCTTTTTAAAAAAAAAATAAAAATTAAAAATGCACAGGCGATCAAATACCACCAAAAAAAAAGCTCAATTTGTGGGAAAATAAAGGACGTAAATTTCATTGGGGTACAGCATTGCACGACTGCGCAATTGTCAGTTAAAGTAACGCGGCACCGTATCGCAAAAAAAACGCCTGGTCAGGAAGGGGGGGGGGGTGAATCCTCAGGAGGGCGAGGGGTTATAGCACAAAAAAAAAAAAAAATGCACAGGCAATCAAATACCACCAAAAGAAAGCTCAATTCGTGGGATCAGGTCATAAATTTCATTTGGGTGCGGCATTGCAGGACCGCGCAATTGTTGGTTAAAGTAACACGGCACCATAATGCAAAAAAAATGGCCAGGTCAGGAAGGGGGGGGGGGGGGGTAAATCCTCTGGAGGGCGAGAGCTTATAGAGCAAAAAATAAAAAAACGCACAAGGGATCAAATACAGCCAAACAAGAGTTCAATTCTTGGTAGAAAAAGGACGTAAATTTCATTTGGGCGCGGGTGTTGCATGACCGTGCAATTGTCAGTTTAAGTAACTCGGCGCCGTATCGCAAATCAACGGCCTGGTCAGAAAGGGGGGTAAATCCTCCGGAGGGCGAGGGGTTAACTTGGCACTCATAAACGAAAAACGAGAATTTTTCCAAAGATGATTTCCCGTCTCAATGTATTGCGGAAAGCCTGGCGGACCAGGAGACGGCGTTCGGAGCAGGGGGGGCGGTGCGGACTGACAACTCATGGGGCCCCCAGGCAATAGGAGATCATGGGGCCCCTGTGTCCTTGCCCAAACTCAAAAAAGCCTATGAAAAAGGTACCAGGGGCATCTCATGGGGCCCCCTACTGACCCTCGGGCAGTGCCCGAGTTTCCAAATGGTCAGTTCGCCGCTGGTTCGGTGTGCAGGTGCGGTGCCAGGACAGGCTGGAAGAATACAAAAATAATGGTTCCCCGAGCCCGCTCCCGGGCCACACCCAGGTAGCCCTTTGACTACCAAAAGAAACATACTAAAAGCACAAAAAAAAAAAAAAAAACCTGTTGGAGTTGGGTTGTCTATGCCCCTTTGTGTCATCTATTGAGCAGGTGGGACAGGGTGCACCTTCAACATATCCTTTCCCACGCTTTGAAAAAGATCAAAACACAAACAAAACAAAAAATCGTCAGGTAAGAGTTTGTATTTTTGAAGCTAACAAAAGACAAATGCGATGAGCCTGATATACTGAAGGCACAGAGGCAGCTTGCTTTGAGGGCCCGTTCACACGTAAAGGTTCCAATGCGGTGCGCAAATGCACCTTCCCACATGGAAGAAAAATATATTTTAAAAATATTCTTCCCAAATATATTTGCCATATATTTGAAATACTACAATTTTGGCCATATTCAATACATTTCAAAATATATTTCAATAAACATATTTAAAAAAAATAATTAAACATATATGTAAAAATATATGTTAAAAAAAATCTGAAGAACATATATTTAAAAAAAATACATATTTTTAAAAATAATTTTTCATATATTTTGTAATATATAAAAAAACGCATGCAGTTTGAGTGTATAAATATATATATATATTGAAATATATAAATACTACCAAAATTGTAGTATTTCAAATATATGTCAATAATACTGTTGCGTATAGATATTGAAATGTTTTTTATTGCAAAATGTATGAAAAATATTTGTAAAAATACATTTTCAATATACTGTATGTCTTTAAAAATACATTTAATCTACATTTTTGAAATGCATTTAAAAATATATGTAAAAATATATGTTAAAAAATTGGAAGAATATATTTAAAAAATACACATTTTAAAAATATTTTTCATATATTTTGTAAAATATTGAAAAATGCATTTTGACATGCAGTGTATATATATAGATAATTTTGAAATATATTGAATAACAAAAACATTTAGTCAATAATACTGTATGTTGAAATGTGTTAAAATGTGTTTATGTAATATATATATATATATTATATTATAATATATATATATATATATATGTATATATATATATATAAATAGTTTTATATATATATATATATATATATAATATATATATATATATATAGATATATTTTGAAATATATTGAATACTACCAAAATTGTAGTATTTCAAATATTTGTCAATAATACTGTCTGTTGAAATGTGTTAATTGTGTTTTTATTGCAAAACGTATGAAAGATATTTGTAAAAATACATTTTCAAATATACTGTATGTCTTCAAAAATACATTTAATCTACATTTTTGGAATGCATTTACAAATATATCTAAAAATATATGTTAAAATTACTTTTTTATATGTTAAAAAAATCTGAAGAATATATTTAAAAAAATATACATATTTTAAAAAATATTTTTCATATATTTTGTAATATATAAAAATGCATTTCGACATGCAGTGTATATATTGAATACTACCAAAATTGTAGTATTTCAAATATATGTCAATAATACTGTATGTTGAAATGTGTTAAATGTGTTTTTATTGCAAAATGTATGAAAAATATTTGTAAAAATACATTTTTAAGTATACATATACTTAAAAAACTTTTATATACTTATATATATATAAAAACGCATTTCGACATGCAGTGTATATATATATATATATATTTTTTTTTTTGTTAACTGTTATAAATGTTAACATATGTTAAAAAAAGAATATATTTAAAAAATACACATTTTAAAAAATATTTTGTAATATATAAAAAAAATGCATTTTGAATTGCAGTGTATATATATATATATAATCACACTTTAATGTGCGTTGTATTAAGGCAGTTCATCCATTATAGGCTGCAATTGGACCACAAGGGCCGTAAAAAACATACATGACTCTCCTTTTATGAATGCAGCACTCCACAATGCGAGGTGCATATATTATGGTGCTCTGCTGGCCATTGTGCTCTACTGAACAATGCATTGGGATGCCTTTCACAATGAACGGCAATACTGCATGTAGAGCAGGTGCGTTGCCATGTTCCCGGCTCTGTGTTGACTTAGAATATCAATCAGGTGCAAGGGAAAATTTAAAAAAAAATAGTAGTTCAGTGAACACTGACTTTTCTAAGTGAACATTCTTTACTCCTTTAGTAAATTAACTCCTCTAACTTTACTCTTTCCTTAAAATGTGCTTGTGCATTGTTTGCAAAATTTAGCAGGTTCTCTTTCAATTAACTCTCCCCAGCAGCACATAACAAGACCTAGCATATGCCTATGATTGGGGGGCAGTAAAAATAGGCAGATGAGCTGCATTTTTGCCACCCCACCAACCCTCCCCCTCCAATCTACAATGGCACCTGTACATACACTATATTGCCAAAAGTATTGGGCCGCCTGCCTTTCCACGCCCATGACTTTATTGGCCTCCCAGTCTTAGTCCGTAGGGTTCAATATTGAGTTGGCCCCACCCTTTGCAGCTATAACAGCTTCAAATCTTCTGGGAAGGCCGTCCACAAGGTTTAGGAGGGTGTCTATGGGAAGGTTGGACCATTCTTCCAGAAGCACATTTGTCAGGTCAGGCACTGATGTCGGGGGAGGAGGCCTGGCTCGCAGTCCCCCCTCTAATTCATCCCAAAGGTGTTCTATGGGGTTGAGGTCAGGACTCTGTGCAGGCCAGTCAAGTTCCTCCACCCCAAACTGGCTCCTCCATGTCTTTATGGACCTTGCTTTGTGCACTGGTGCGCAGTCATGTTGGAACAGGAAGGGGCCATCCCCAAACTCCTCCCACAAAGTTGAGAGCATGAAATTGGCCAAAATGTCGCCTTAATGGCTCCCTTCACTGGAACTAGGGGGCCAAGCCCAAGCCCTGAAAAACAACCCCACACCATAATCCCCCTCCACCAAACTTTACACTTGGCACAATGCAGTCAGGCAAGTACTGTTCTCCTGGTAACTGCCAAACCCAGACATGTCCATCGGACGGCCAGACAGAGAAGAGTGATTGGTCACTCCAGAGAACACGTCTCCACTGCTCTAGAGTCCAGTGGCGGTGTGCTTTACACCACGGCATCCAACGCTTTGCATTGCACTTGGTGATGTAAGGCTTGGATGCAGCTGCTCGGCCATGGAAACCCATTCCATGAAGCTCTCTACGCACTGTTGTGGTGCTCATCTGAAGGCCACACCAAGTTTGGAGGTCTTTAGCTATTGACTGTGCAGACAGTTGGTGACTTCTGCGCACTGTGCGCTTCAGCGTGCGCTGACCCCGCTCTGTCATGTGACGTGGCCTACCACTTGGTGGCTGAGTTGCTATTGTTCCCAGTTGCTTCCACTTTGTTATAATCCCACTAACAGTTGAGCGTGGAATATTTAGTAGCCAGGAAATGTCACGGATGGACTTATTGCACAGGTGGCCACCTATCACAGGACCATGCTTGGAGTCACTGAGCTCCTGAGAGCGACCCATTCTTTCACCAATGTTTGTAGAAGCAGTCTGCATGCCTAGGGACTTGATTGTATACACCTGTGGCCATGGAGGGGATTGGAACACCTGAATCACATGATTGGAAGGGCGGGGCCAATACTTTTTGACACTATAGCGTACATTCAATGCTTTGCATCATGATGCAGCCAAAAAATGATGCCTCCTGTAGCAGTACCGCTTGCCAAACACAACCCTTCAAGCGATAGTGGCCTTGCTGCAAATGCCCCACAACCATGGGTTCCACCATCTGGAAAAAAGTACTGGACAAAAGCGCTTGTCAGGGACATTGGTCATTTCTCTTTCCCTACACGTCCCTGGGATGCATCGTGAATCCATGGTTGCGGCAAACCCAAATCTCATCCCTACTAACCATTTCCTACGTGGTTCCA